CTCTACCACTGAGCCACAATCCCAGTCCCTAGTTTTTTCTTTCTTTGCAATACTGGGAATTGAATTCAGGAGTACTCTGCCATGGAGCTACATCCTCAGCCTTTTTAAAAAATTTGAGACAGGGTCTTACTCAGTGACCCAGGCTGGCCTCTAACTTGTGATCTCCCTACTTCAGTCTCCAAGGTAGCTAGGATTATAGACATCATGGTGCCTGGTATCTTTTTTTCTGTCTCAGGACTGGGAATCAGACCCAGGGACTCACCCATGCTGAGCACAAACTACCACAGAGCTCTATCCCAGCCCTTTTACTTTCTGCCTGGCGGGGGTTTTGTTGATGGTTTGTTTCGGTTATGAGATGGGGTCTCACTGTGTTTCTGAGGCTGCTCTCAAACTCCTGGGATTGAGTGATCTTCCCATCTCAGTTCCATCCCCCTGAGTAGCTGAGACTACAAGCATGTGCCACCACAACTGRCTCCCAGCCCTCTTTCTTATTTACACACAAGGGCTCTTTCCACATGAAGAATGCAAGTCAGGTMTGATGTGGTGGCACACACCTGTAAATCCCAGCTGCTTGGGAGGATGARGTAGGAGGATCACAGTTTGAGGCCAGCCTGGCCAACTTAGTGAGACCCTATCTCAAAGGAACAGATAAAATGGGATGTAGCTCAGTGGTAGAGCACCTGGGTTCAATCCCCCGTGCTGCCAAATAAATAAATAAAAATAAAACATGCAAAATGTGCAAAAGAATGCAAGTCTGACAGCTACTCTGATATCTGAAGTCAGAGGATTGCTTGAGCTGGGGATTTGTGAACATCCTGGGCAACATAGAAAGACCTTGTCTCAAAGAGAGAGACACAGAGAGAATATGTTCAGTCTTTGGCTGAAATATGTTCCACAGACTAAGACTTGTCTTAAAGGGCTCATGTAGGGCTGGGCTTGGTGGCACCCATCTATAATCTCAGCTACTTAGGAGGTTGAGGCAGGAGAATCCCAAGTTTGAAACCAGCATCAGCAAGTTTGGGGGMCCCTGTCTCAGAATAACAACTAAAAATGGCTAGAGATGTCCCATCTGAACAGCTGGGCTGTCACTGTGAACAAGAACCTAGAATTTTAGGGAAGGGACTAGCATAGCAGTGGGCAGAAGGGTACCACCCAGGCCACTTCAGAACAAGTTCTTCCTCCGGACCCAGGGCAAGACACATGGGTGAACTCGCATCCCCTCTGCTCCTCAGTACCCTCCATCCACCACAAGCCCAAGGGACCATCACTTGTCACCAGCAAAGGGAAGAGGGCAGCACCTGCTGGCACTCCAGTCCCTCTCACTGCTTCAGGGAGGTCCCTCTGTCTTCAGTCTAAAGCCTCTAGCCAGTCTCCCCACCGGCTCCCCCACCTCTGCTCCATAGCCACAGGGACCTCCTCTCCCTGCCCCTGGAGGCAAGCCTCTGCCTTCTCCTCCCAAGCCCACCTTCCAGACTAGCCTCCACCAGGAAGCCTACCCTGACCCTCAGGCTAAACTAGGTTTCCTCAGCGCCCTTCCCAAGGTGTGAAAGTGGACCTGTACTTCTGTGACGACCAGATGACAGTGCAGGTTCCGGACGAGCCAGATGCTCAGGTCTTGCTCAGCCTGCACCTGTGCTTATCGCTCTAACCCCACTTAAAGCAAGTCTGGCACCATCTGGACAGCTGGGCTGTCACTGTGAAGAAGAACCACTAGTCCAGTGGGRCAGAGGCTGTCATTCACCCAGCTGCCCAGGGGCTGGGCAAAGGAGAGCCCCCACTGAGAGTCCATGACCTGGGGCTGCAGCCACCCCACCAGCTAAGGGAGCTGGAGCCTGGTGCGCCCTACTCAAGCGCTGCCAGTTTCGTGCATGGGTGCATCTTCCTTCCTTGTGCCTGTCAGTCAGACGCAATGAYTGTCTGTGGAAGGAAAGGGGGCTGCTGAGGGCTGTTGCAGGGATGGCGGGCAGGGCACCTTTGTGGGGGCACCTCTCTCTGTCCCGACTGGGAAATGCTTCTCTTGCTTCCCAATTCACCTCTTATCCTGCTCAAGAGAGGCACATCTGTCATGTCAGGGTGGGTTGTGYGGGCTGGCTGTTGCCGGTGCTCACAGGAGTCCAGCCTACGGCTAGGATGCTCGCGCGTCGGAAATGGCACTGAACTCGTGCGCTGCAAGAACCTCGCACGGGCATCTGGGGCCTAGCATGCGGCTTCCAAGAGGGCGGCGGAGAGTGGGGGAAAGAATGCCTGTTGGTCCCAGTGCGGGTGAGGCCCAGCTGGCTGGACGCGCCAGTCTGCCCCCTGCTGGCCAGGCCTGGCTGCTCACTCACCCAGTGCCAGCCAATAAGCGAGGCTGGGCTGGGCGGGTCCCAAACACCCGGGCCATAAAAGCGCTGCGCTCTGTTGGTCSAGCACGCTTCTGGTTCTGACACGGACTCAGAAAGAAATCACCATGGTGCTCTCTCCTGCTGACAAGACCAACGTCAAGGCTTGCTGGGAGAAGATTGGCGGCCATGGTGCTGCATATGGTGCCGAGGCCCTGGAGAGGTGAGCGCCCTTCTCTGCCCTGCTCGGTCCCTGGGGTTCAACACCGGTCCCAGTGACCGGCTGGCACCCTACCTGTTATGCCCTCATCCTCCTCAACTTCGCTCACCCGCCGTTTTTTCCTTGCAGGATGTTCCTGTCCTTCCCCACCACCAAGACCTACTTCCCCCACTTTGACCTGAGCCACGGCTCCGCACAGGTCCAGGGCCATGGCAAGAAGGTGGCTGATGCTCTGGCCAATGCCGCGGCCCACGTTGATGACTTGCCTGGCGCCCTGTCCGCTCTGAGCGATCTGCACGCACACAAGTTGCGTGTGGACCCCGTCAACTTCAAGGTGAGCGCTGGGGCCGGGAAAGGCCGGGAGGGACGGGTAGAGGGTGCAGGTGGCAATGTGGCAGGGCAGAGAACCCCACAGTAAGGTGGAACACAGATGGCAGTGCCACTGACGGCCTTTCCTCTCTCCACAGCTCCTGAGCCACTGCCTGCTGGTGACCCTGGCTGCTCACCACCCAGCCGAATTCACCCCTGCTGTGCATGCCTCCCTGGACAAGTTTTTGGCCTCTGTGAGCACCGTGCTGACCTCCAAATACCGTTAAGTTGGAGCTCCCACAGGCCATGCCCATCCATGCCTGTCAGGCCTCCTGGCCAGTTCCTCCTCCCCTCCTTGCACCTGCACCTCTTGGTCTTTGAATAAAGTCTGAATGTGCGGCAGCCTGTGTGCCCTGGATTCTCTGTGTCCACCTAGATCTCAAGGTTGGGGGTTGGTGGCTGGTGGCTTCTTGGGAACACATCATTTACCTGATTCAAAGACCTCTATATATCTGGAGAGGACAAGAAAAGTCAAAGGAGGGAGGGACAGAAAGAAGCTGGATTTGGAACCAGTACTGGTGGCTGCCCAGGATTTGCTGGACACCCCTCTACCCAGCAGAGCTGTGCTGTAGTTCCTCCCAGCGTTTCATTCCAGGGCCTTTAAGATTCCACACAAGTTTGCTGCAATACTTACTCTCTTTGCTCCTCCTCTTCACATTTTATCACACATGCACACACAATTACACTCAAATGGCCCAGCAAGCTGGGCAATGTGGTACATACTGATAATTCCAGCTATCCAGCAGGCGGGTGCAGGAGGACTCTAAGTTGGAGGACAGACTGAGCAATTCAGCAAGAATCTGCCTCAAAACAAATAAACAAAAATGGCTGGGAGTTAGGCTTAGAGCACTTGCCTAACGTGGTTGAGGGAAATTGGCCCAGCTCTCCCAGGGACCCTCCCAGAGAAGGGTGGTGGTGAGGAAGCCACACTTCCTCAGAGTAACACTGAATCCTCTCTCTTCAGAGATCAGTCTCCCTAAAACCCCCAAATTCTCTACACAGTTCTGATAAGTTTAAGGGTGAGCAGGAATTGTAGATACCATACCATTTTCTGGAACTATCAACCCAGGATGTCAATTCTATGAATACTGTAGTCCTGGGGCCATGAGAGTCAGGAGACTCAACCTCTGGGCCCAGCCCAATGTTCACTCAGCTGCCCCATGTCACTGGGTTCTCCTGTCCAAGTGGAGCAGTAGAAAGAAGATCCAGAGCTAGGGAGACCTGGCTGACCCACCCCACATACTTCCTCCTAGCAGAGCAGGTCCAGGGCATGGGTATCAGAGGGAAGGCTTGAGGGCCATCTGGCCCCAGCCCTCCACTTAAAAACACTGTTCATGGGGCTGCGGTTGTGGCTCAGTGGTAGAGCCCTTGTCTAGCATGTGTGAGGCACTGGGTTTGATCCTCAGCACCACATAAAAATAAATAAAATCAAGGTATTATGTCCATCTACAACTAAAACAAACAAACAAACAAACAAAAACCCCTCTGTTCTTTCTGCCTTAAGCTCAAGACTCATTCTTACTATGCCCTTTGGCTCAGTAGAGTTCCAGATAGGAGCCATCTTTGTTTTTGTTTTTTGTACTGGGGTTTGAGCTCAGGAGTGCTCAACCACTGAGCCACATCTCCAGTCCTATTTTGTATTTTATTTAGAGACAGGGTCTGAGATGCTTATCGCCTTGCTTTTGCTGAGGCTGGCTTTTAACTCGTRATCTTCCTGCCTTGGCCTCCCGAGCCGCTGGGATTACAGGCATGCCCCACTGCGCTGGATGATGGATGGGCCCAGGCACAGCTCCATCTTTGATATATTTTGTTTTATCATAGAGGCCTCAGCTACGGTGGAAACACATCAAATGCACATCAGTGGACACATGTGCACACAAAATGTGGCTTAAAATTCAGGCATAAAAAGAAATGAAATTTGCAGGATGTGGACAAATCATGATGAAAACATTATGCTGAGTGGAAGAAGCCAGACCCTGAAGACTACATATCATATAATCTCATTTATATGATATGTAAATCATATGATATGTAAAATATGATATATAAATTCCAGTTATTTGGGAGGCTGAGGAAGAAGGATCACAAGTTCTAAGCCAACCTGGGTAACTTATTTTCAAAATAAAAAAATATAAGGGCTGGGAATGTAGTTCAGTGGTAAAGCACCATTCTGTTGAATAAGGAGGAGGAGGAGGAGAACAAGGAAGGAAGAGGAAGGGAAGGGAGAAGGCCAGCCAACCTGTAAGCAGAATAAGCAGGTCTGTGGGAAAAGAAGCAGATTGGTGGTAACCAGGAGCTAAAAGAAGGGGATTGGGCAGTTACTGCTAATGGCTGAGTTTTTGTTTAGCATGATGAAAAAGCTCTGAAACTAGACATTAGTGATGGCTGCACAATTCTGTGAATGTTCTAAATGTCACTGAATTATACACTGTTAAGATAGATTTAATGGTAAATTATATGGAATCTAATTTTTGGGGGAGGGGAGAGACTTCAGATTGAATCTAGGAGTGCTCTCTACCATTGAGCTACATTCCCTGTCTTTTTTTACTCTTTGTTTTGAGACAGAGACTTGCCGAGTTGCTCAGGCTAACCTCAATTCAATTCCCAGTAATGCATTAAAAATATTTAAAAAGGTGTGATGTGTGTTGGTGCTGGGGTTGTAGCTCAGTGGCAGAGTACTTGTCTAGTATGTGTGAGGCACTGGGTTTGATCCTCAGCACCACATATAAATAAATAAAAAATAAAGGTACATCGACGAATAAAAAATATTTAGGGGGGAAAAAGGTGTGATTTGGAATCTGGCAGAATATGCTGAATATTCACAATTATTATTTGGACACAAACCAGGCACCTAATAAATGTTCATTGTTCTGAAAGGAACATCTACTATGAGCCAGGCACTTGGCATTTGCTATCCATTTAATTCTCATGACAAAGCTAAGAAACGACTTATCCTCATTTCATACAATAAATTAGTAGACAGACTGAGGAAGGTGTCCCAATAGATACGGGAGATAGGGGACACGCCAAAACACAGGCTGAAACTCAGTGTTATCTGGGCATTACCTTCCATGTAGCAAACCCTTTAACGTATGGGGCCTCGGGGTTCAGGGAGACTGAGGGTAGCAGTCTGAGCACAGTGGAGTCCCTCTGAGACCTGGGACCACAGGTCAGCGCGAACGCTCAAGGCGCCCCCTGGAGGCCACGCAGAAGTCCTCCAAAGGCGCCGGCGCGGGCGCAGGCTGGGCGCAAAGCACTTGGCGGGAGAGCCGGCATGGCGCTGTCAGCCAAGGACCGGGCGATGGTGCGCGCGCTGTGGAAAAAGCTGGGTAACAACGTTGGCGTCTACACGACCGAAGCCCTGGAGAGGTACGTACCTACCCGCTGCTCGGCCCGCTTTGGAGACGCGCACCTACCCGCTGCTCGGCCCGCTTCGGAGACGCGCACCCACCCTCCGTTCCCCGCAGGACCTTCCTGGCCTTCCCTGGCACCAAAACGTACTTCCCCCATTTGGACCTGAGCCCCGGCTCCGCCCAAGTTAAAGCCCACGGCCAAAAGGTGGCTGACGCGCTGACCCTTGCCGTAGATCAGCTGGACGACCTGCCGGGCGCCTTGGCCTCTCTGAGCGACCTGCACGCACATAAGCTGCGTGTGGACCCAGCCAACTTCCAGGTGAGCGTGCAGGCCAGGCCGGATCCAGCGTCGCCGGGGGAGGGGTCCCMCCAGGGAAGGGTGTGGATGATGGATGGGCCCAGGCACAGCTCCATCTGCCCGCAGCTCCTGTGCCACTGTCTGCTGGTGACCCTGGCCCGGCACTATCCCGGAGACTTCAGCCCCACCATGCAGGCCTCGCTAGACAAGTTTCTAAGCCATGTGACCTCCACGTTGGTCTCCAAGTATCGCTGAAATCCGGAGGGTCATCTGGGGGCCTCCAGGAGTTCCCTTTCCCGAGGACCCCGCCTTGAATAAAGTCCCCCAGAACGCGTCCTGGAACATATGTCCTTTAGACACAGGGATGGATGAACAAGACTGGTCCTTTTAAAGTGGGGCATAGGGTCTCACAGCCCTCAAGTGGTAAGGGCTGCAGAGGCAGCAGCAGCTCCTCAAGTTGCTGGCTCCCTCCTGACACTCCTCGGCTGCAGGCCCCTCACCCACCAACCCAGCCTAGGAGAAAACCAGGCACAGACCCCACCCCTACCTCCAACAGAGGCAGAAGCTGTGCAGGGGTGGTGTCAGTTCCTGAGGGGAGGCTTGTGAAAGTCAGATGTTACCTGACTCAGGACCAGGTGGAAGGAGGCAAGTCCAGCCCCAGCACCCAGTCAGGTGTGTGGGGGGRTCCACACTGGAATCATGCCTTCATCTAGTCTCCAAAGAGAGGAAAGGTAGGGTTTATTTTTTCCATATAAAATCAACCATGGTAACTGCAGAAACTTTGGGAAGTAATTACCCTATTTACTGCCCCTTTCTGCTACCCAAGTCAGGAACAGACCTGGCAGAGGACAAAGGTACATTCCAGAGCACACGCATGGCAAAGACCTACCACCAATGGGCACAAACAGGTCTGCAGCCATGCATGTTGCCAGTGGACAGCCTTTCAGATCCTTCTAGGCACTTAAAAGAATGCCAGCTTCAAATTACAGTGGGACAGCCAGGTGTGGTGGCACACGCCTGTAATTCCTGCTGCTCAGGAGGCTAAGGCACTTACCAACTCGGTAAGAACCTGTCTCTAAATAAAATATTTTTAAAAAGGGCTGGGGATGTGGTTCAGTGGGTTCAATCTTCAGTGCCAAAATAAAATATCAGTGGACAGAGCAGACCACACACAGGAAGGGTGTGTTATTGGTCATCAACCTTCCTAGGCTGGCAGTATACAGGCACTTCTAGGGTATTGTGGGGTTCCCAGAAGAGACTGGCATTGGAACCAGGAACCAGGAGACTGCAGATCCCCGCTAAATGCCACTGGGCCATCGTCCACCCACTAAGTGCCTGGACAGAACAAAACAGTGAAGGGAGGCAAACTGCTCTCTGCTTCGGCAGTGATAGACATCTTCTGCCCTTGATGTGGAGCTTATAGTTCTCAGGCCTTCCAAGCAGGGCTGACTTCCAATCCTGGGACAGCAGGAGCCAATGCCACATAATAACTACGCATCTGCATGTCCTACTCCCTTTGTTTCTCTAAAGAATCCTAATATAGGAAGGAAAGAGGAAAAAAGAAAAAGAAAAAGAGGACAGTAAAATTAGCCAGGTGTGGTCTAGTCCTGGCATTTAGGAGGCTGAGAAGATGGATGGCTTGAGTTCAAGACCAGGCAGGCAACACAGTGAGACACGCTGTTCCAAAAAAAAATTAATTAAGGGCTGGGCACAGTGGTAGTGTTTGCCTAGCATGTGTGAGACACTTGGTTCGATTCTCAGCACTACATATAAATAAAAATTTTAAAAAAGGTTCATCAACAACTAAAGGGCTGGGGATGTGGCTCAAGCGGTAGTGCGCTCGCCTGGCATGCGTGCGGCCCGGGTTTGATCCTCAGCACCACATACCAACAAAGATGTTGTGTCCACCGAGAACTAAAAAATAAATATTAAAAATTCTCTCTCTTAAAAAAAAAAAAAAAGTAAAAAAAGTATTGGACACAACACCTTTACTTTTATGTGGTGCTGAGGATCGAATCCAGGGCCTCATACATGCTAGGYGAGCGCTTTACCGCTGAGCCCCAGCCCCCTAAATTTTTTTTGTGTGTGTGTGTGGTGCTGGGGATTGAACCCAGGGTCTTGTGCATGCTAGGCAAGCACTCTACCAACTGAGCTATATCCCCAGCCCCCTAAAAGATAATTTTAAAAAATTAATTAAAAATATATTTTGCTGGGCCCAGTGGTGCACATCTATAATCCCAGAGTATCCGGAGGCTGATGCAGGAGGATTCCAAGTTCAAAGCCAGCCTCATCAACTTAGTGAGGCCCAAGGTAATTTGGTGAGATCCTGTCTCAAAATAAATTAAAAAAGGATGGGGATATGGCTCAATGGTCAAGCACTTCTCGATTCAACCATGATATGAACAACAACAACAACAAAGTATAATTTTTTACAAAACCACCCCGTCTAGGAGACGGCCACTGTGCAGCCTATGTCTGCATGTTACATGCAGCTTGTACAGCTGAGCCACACACCTGAGACCTCAGCTTCTGTCCTTTCCCTTCCCCTCAWAGGATCCCCTTAACCCACTCACCCAGGGCTTTTTACCAACTCCTGTCTACATGCTACACCCAAGGGGACACTGCACAGGAGGCAGATTTGGCAGTCAACAACACCGCAAGTAGAGCCATTCTGCCTCACTTCTCTAAAATCACTATCCATGCTGTTGATGTATTCCCATGGTATGAGGGGTGTGTATACTGGGGAGACCCCTTTTGTTCCGACTCAGCCTGGGTTCCCTTGGGTATGGTCATCACTCGACCTGGGAGGCCTTTCTGATGGGCAGGCTCCTTCACTGGACAGGGACATGCCTCCCAGGCCCAGACCTACCCACAGTGTCTGAAATGTATAGGCATTGCTGCGGAAAGCAAGGTCCATACTGGGTGAAAAGGTACTTAAGTAGGTCAGCTACAGCAGACCAGAGACTCGGGCGGGGAAGCAAAGTAGCTGGGGATATCAAGGCTGCTCTGGGGCATGGGTTCCATTTGTCCTGGACCACTGTAAAGGGGCACAAAGGACCACAGGGCTTCCCCAGCAAAGGGAGGTGACAAGATATCTACCCAGGAGCTACTCTAGTTCAGGCCACCACAGGAGGACTGGAGACACTGATGTGGAAGCCCCAGGGGGCCTTGCTCCTCAGCTGCAATCAGAGGAGCTAAGGTGTGGGTACTACAGGTCATTCGTTGGCATAACCTACTCCTTGGCAAAACAACAAAGCAAAACACAGCTATTTGTCCACACAGAGAAATTTATGTCCAGATATAGAAAAGGAAAAAACAGTCACAGTGGTAATGGTGGGGGACAGGGGGTGGATAGACTGGCTGTCTTAGCTCCAGGAGAACACAGGGTGTAAATGAACACTCAGCCTAGACACCTGTGACCTGCCTACAGGCCAGTTGCTGGTTTCTGCTGGTGCAGAAACCTACACAGGACACATGCATAGAACAAAGTACCAAGCCCAAGTGGATTCCATAGATTTCCTTCCCACCAGTCTTTTCTGTGAAGACAGGAAAGAACTGTCTCTGACCAGCAGCCACATCAGGATGTTGGTGGCCTTTTGGATGCTATTTTGCCACATGTGCACCTCTACAGAGTAGAGATGAATAACGGTGTGTTAACAATGAGGGAACAGAAGCTCCCTCTAAAACAAATGTAAACGGCCCCCAGAAATATTAAAAGGGGAAGGCGCTCCAGTGTCCACAAATCAGTCAGCAGTTACCCTTCACTTTGGTCTTAAGGCACCCATCCTGACAGCAGCAGCAAAGAGATGAGGGGGTAACAGAAAAACCCATCCAGGCAGGAACCACAAAGCAGCACCCTGGAATGTGACCCAAAGATAACACCCCTCTCCTCTGAAGACTGCCAGGTGGGTGCCAACCAGGGGATTTTCTTTGCCTTACATAACTTCAAATAGGGAATGGCAGGACACCTTGCCTGACCTAGGATCTGACAGGCCAGCTCCGGAAGAGATGAATGGGGAATGTGCCCTCTGCTCCCTGCCTGCCTTCGAGTCTGTAACAGGAGCTAGAGATGACCAGCAAAGATGGGTGTTAAGTACAAGGACGGACAATCACATATACCTGGCTCAGCTGGGGACAGACACCAAAAGCCAAAAGGTGGCTGGACTGCAAGTTGCAGTCTTCTGAAGTGGGGAAAGCAGCAGGCCTGTATCTCCTGGAGTGGAGGAGGGTCCCAGCAAAGCACCTCAGCAGAGGAGAGTAAGGAGGCAGCCGGTCAGGTTTATTTATTCCTACACAACATAACCCAGAACACAGGAGCAACTCTGCACGACCTAGAAACTCACAGCTAGCTCCATACAATAGAAATTCAAACTACAAAAGATGAGTTGTGTACAGCAAATATAAAGAGCAATCTTAGGCTGTGCTGAATGTTTTCATTGAGAACATCAGAGCTCGGGTTCAGATCTCGCCGGCCTCCTTCTCCTCGGACCTCCGTGACACAGTCTTCCCGTTGGAGTTCTCCAGCCTCCAGTCCACAGCCCCACGCTCACTCCGCCCATACTCCCAGGGCTCTTCTCTTGATGCACGCTCTCTGGAGAACCTAGGGAAGGGGAACCAGAGGCTCAGTGGAGGATGCCACCCTGCTTCTCAGTGGCTGTTCAGAAACCAACAATGTGGACTTTCCTCAATGGATGGGAAGGTCATGGTCCCAGGAGCCCCGGGGGCAGCGAGGGCTGCCATCTCATGCCTAACCGTCCATACAGGGAACATTAGGTACTCACTAAAAACTGACATTCATAAAAGAGTTTTAATAAGGAAGCACAACAAAATTATACATATGAAATACAATCCACTACATAAAAATAGAACGGGAAAAAGGCCAAAATTTAAAACCACTTCAGAAGTTAAGGAGGGTTTAGTATCTAGTGACAGTGCCTAGAGTCCAGGATGACTATGTGCAGAGTACTGTAACTCCACCTAGGAGTCCACGAGGGACATGCTCCACAGTCCTCCCCCGTTCAAACCCTGAGTCTCACCACTGGCCAGGCTCCCCACTAGCCCAGTCTAGCCCTACCAGCTATGGAAGGGCCCACTGACAGACCCCAGCAAACCATGGGAACACAAAGAGAAGGGGCTCACTCCTGGTTGCAGCTACTGAAGGAGTCAGAGTAGTTACTTGTATTTCGCACTCCGGTCCCTGGAAGCCCGGCGATGTCCCCGGCTGCGGCTCCGGGAACGGCTGCGATGGCGCCGGTGTCTGTCTCGGGACCGGGACCGGGAAGACTTCCTTCGCTCTCGGGAGGTAGATCTTGACCGCCTCCGACGCCGATCTCGGGAGCGTGACCTGAAAAAAACCGAAGGCTCTGATGGTTGAGATTGCTAAGAAAGCAAGCAGCCCAGGACTACSCCACTTCTGGGCTCAGATTCTGACTGTGGCCTTACTTATATTTCCTCCTGTCATCTCACAAATGTGCAATTCAAGTTTGAAATAKTCCCAAGAGCTACTCTGATGCCAGACCCACCCTGAGTGGCACTTCCTGAACACTCCTGGTTGGCCACAGGCTTCACCATCCCCGGGGCCCTTCACAAGCCACCCTACCCACCAGATAAATGTGTGGAATTGCAAAAATCAATTATTTTTAAAAAATCTTGTGGAAGAGGCATGTGACTGAGAGAACATTATTAGGCATCTAGAAGCCTACCTCCTACGATCTCTGGTTCTGGATCCAGACCTGAAAAGGGAAAAGATGATGAACAATGTTCCAGAAGCATCCTCATTCTCCAATGACTGGGAAAGTGCCCACAACTCAAGGCGGAAGACTTTCCCAAAGACCTGTTTTCTCCTGGCTGCTCAACTACTTGGGCTGCAGTGGGAGGTGCAAAAACTCACAGGATGAGGCCCCACCCACTCTGTGGCTCACTGGCTGTACTGGCAGCACCCATGTGCATCAGTGCAGGTTAGAGTTACAAGGCTTTACAATGGACACCGGCACAGGTATACAGTCAGAAGACAAAGGGCTGCGTGCAACTCCACAGCCACCAAAGTTCCAGACACAGGTTTAGTGACAGGTGAGCATCAATGGGCTCCTCTGGTTAGACAACCAGCAAGATCTCATGTGATACCCATTCTGAGAGCACTGTGCAGTCATCATGGAAAAGGGRCCTACATGTGACTGTATCTAGACATGCCCAACCACAACAGATGCATCTCTGTGCAAAAGGGATGGCAGGTCTTCTGAGGATGTTCTCATATAATACAAAGCTCCAATAATCAACCAACATGGAAACAAAAGAACAGCAAGCATTGGCTCCTTCTGAGTCAGGCACTCAGGAATTCCTTTGGGAAAGCAGTTTTTGGGTCTTTCAGGGGAAATAAGCTACCCCCAAAGGAAAGTGAGATTATTTCTAGCTCAGAACTCTTCTCTGAACTCCAATCAGAAGGGTATGTCTTGGGCATTAAAACTGAACATGGTGAGTCAAGCTCTACCCCATCCCTTCCCACACTACCTTCCTCACCCCAGCAAGTGCAAACTCTAGGCCAAAAAACTTCAAGTTGATTCCTATCAATTCTGTCCCCAGATCACACCCAGACTCCAGTCACTTGACTCTTCAGACCGCCAACTCCTTCATCAGGATCCTCTCAACCAGCAACTCACTGATCTTGCTGCTCCACCCAACACCCTCACTCAGCTCTCCAAAGGGAAGCAACACCTCCTGACATCAGACCCCATCACTCCTATGAGTTTTTTAATGATCCCACACCATGCAATAAATGTATACCAGGTACATACACGACCTCCAAACACTCACTCAGCCCAAAGCTCTTCCCTGATGCACTTTCCCTAGAGCAAAGTGTTGCCATAAGACAGCACACTCCTCTCCCAGAGGATCAGGTCCAACCCTTCCCCTCTGCTGATGGCTGCATGCCCAGCAGTCAGTGGATCAGCTCATGTGGTGAAGGAGGAACCTTTCCTAACTGTTCCTCTTCCTTCTCTTATGATTAGCACATGCAGGTGCTGGGCCAGCCTGCACTCTGCAGGACTGGATATGCTGCACGTTGGCTTTCTTTTAGCCTATAGCAGACCTTGACTATTCCAAGCAACACCTTAGTACATGAAGCAGCATGTTCTGAAGCACAAGGGCTCCGTGAGCATACTAGCCTGTCCTTGCTCACCTTCTACTCAGGCGCTCCTCCCGCTCTCGCTCCTCCCGCCTCCTCAAGCGATCCTGATTTCTCTTCTCCTGCTTTTCAGCCACAGTTTTCTAAATAGATGAAAAATGGGAAAAAGAAAAAAGCAAGAAAAACTCTAAGAAACACTAACACATTTGTTTTAAAACCTTCTTAATCAAACCAGATGAAGTGGCAGAGGCCTGTAATCTTAATGATCAAGAGGCTAAGGCAGGAGGTATCATAAGTTTGAGGTCTGTGTAGGAAATTGGATGAGAATAAAAAATAAAGGCTAAAAATAAACAAATAAATAAAATAAAAAATAAATAAAGGCTGGGGGCTAAGAATATAGCTCAGTTGGTAGAGTGCTTGCCTTCCATGCACAAGATCCTGGGTTCAATCCCCAGCACAAGACAGACAGACAGACAGGAAGGCAGGGTGTTGTGGCACACACCTGTAATCCCAGTGGATCAGGAGACTGAGACCCTAAGCAACTCAATGAAACTCTCTCTCTCTAAACAAAATACAAAATAGGATTGAGGATGTGGCTCAGTGGCAGAGTGCCCTGAGGATTGGTTCCCAGCATCATCAATCAATCATCCAATCAATCAATCAATTTTTTAAAGGGTTAAAAAAAAAAAAACCCAAAACAAAGAACACTTTAAAATACATTTGATGTTGCTACTTTAACAACTGTCAAAATCTTTAATGTGTTTGTGCTGTTTTGGTCAACCATACACCACTCGTAACAGCAATGGTTAAGATACTTCCTAGACCCAGTTCTTCGGCCTGTTGGAAAAGTTTTAACACATACCCACTTTTCTTTTTATGTACTGGGGATTGAACCCAGGGGTTTAACTCTGAGTTACATCTTTAGTTTTTTTTTTTTTTTTTGCAGGGGAGGGGTGGTTGGGCCTCAGTAAGCTGCTGAGGCTGGCCTCCAACTTGTGATGCTCTGCCTCAGCTTTCTGTATCACGCACCCAGCTAATATTCAGTTTTTTTTTTTTTTTTGTACCATGGATTGAATTTACAGGTGTTTAACCTAACCAGTGAGCCACAATCACAGCTGTTTTTTAATATTTAATTTACAGACAAGGATCTCAATGAAGTGCTTAAAGCCTTGCTAAGTTGCTGAGGCTGGCTTTAAACTCACAACCCTCCTACCTAAGTCTCCCAAGCCACTGGGATTACAGGCTTTGCACCAACCCGTCAAGCTTATATTTAGTTTTGATGCAGATACACACTAAGAAAACTGAACACTTTCAGGTATAAAAAATACTGCATTAAGAAAAAACTCTAGGACAACATGGAATTAATGTATGATTTAAAGGACAAATGGGAATACATCATTCCCAACTATTTATTTTTTGGTACCAMGGATTGAACCCAAGGGTGCTTAATCAATGAAGAGTGCAGGCTGGCCCAGCACCTGCATGTGCTAATCATAAGAGAAGGTAGAGGATCAGTTAACATTTGAGACAGTTTCTCACTAAGTTGCTTAGGGCCTGGCTAAATTGCTGATGCTGGCTTTGAACTCTCAATCCTCCTGCTTTAGCATCCTCGGCTGCTGGGAATACAGGCATATGCCATTGCACCTGGCCATTCCCAACTTCTAAGGAGAAATTTTTTTTTGACAGTAGAAACCAAATAATAATTTTTTTTTTTTTAAAGAAAGAGTGAGAGAGAGGGAGAGAAAGAATTTTAATATTTATTTTTTAGTATTTGGCGGACACAACATCTTAGTTTGTATGTGCTGCTGAGGATCGAACCCGGGCCGCACGCATGCTAGGCGAGCGCGCTACCGCTTGAGCCACATCCCCAGCCCCCAAATAATAATTTATATGTATTGAATACATATAACATACAACCTTTTATATCTGATATACCAACTTATAAGAAACAATTTCAACTTGAAAATGTGACTGAGAGGGCTGGGGATATGGCTCAAGCGGTAGCGCACTCGCCTGGAATGCGTGCGGCCCGGGTTCGATCCTCAGCACCACATACCAACAAAGATGTTGTGTCTGCCGAGAACTAAAATAAATAAATAAATAAATAAATTAAAAAAAAAAAAAAGAAAATGTGACTGAGTACACTGAAAATATCAGAGATGTAGCTCTAAGTTGAAGTGACCCTAGGGGTTCAATCCCCAGAACCAAATGTTTTACTGAACAGAAGTAAAATATTTTAAGAATACCCTAAGTACCACTGTACTCCAATCCTGCTTCTAGTTCCAAATTCAATTCACCTAAGGATCTTTCCTTGGGTACAGAACCTTGCTGTCTTCTACTCAAAGGACCAGCTTTTTCCTGGAGTCAAACAAGACCCCAGCCCTAAATGAGGCCTTGGTTACTGTAGCACTCTAAATTCCATTCAGGTGCTTTAGGTCTGTTCTTCCACATTTCAAGTGCATGGAGAGAGGGAAGGCTACATGGCCATATTCCCCCCAAACTTCCCATCCTGCCTTTTTTTTTGGTACCAGGAATTGAACTCTCAGGGTACTTGACCACTAAGCCACATCCCCACCCCTATTTTGTATTTTATTTAGAGACAGGGTCTCACTGAGTTGCTTAGTGCCTCATTAAGTTGCTGAGGCTGGCTCTGAACTTGCAATTCTCCTGTCTCAGCCTCCCAAATTGCTGGGATTACAGGTGTGTGCCACCACACTCTCTGGCCAGCCCCTTTTTTGAGAAATAGTCTAAGTTGTCCAGGCTGGCCTTAAACTTAAGGTCCTACTACCTCAGCCTCTTTGAGTTGCTGGGATTGTAGGGCTGTGCACCACCACAACATCCAGATTCATACTTAAAGTTTAGACTCTTCAGGAAGGAATAGGTTGTGCACTGCTATCAGAAGAAAACTAACAGCTTCCTTACCTTTCTGAGGCAGTGCAAAGGCAAAGATAACTGAACCACACAGAAGCTATTTCAGAACTGTCCATACCCTGGGACTGGACTCTGTCATTTACCACAACGAAGGGGTACAAACTAAATACATTTTCAGGATTTTTTTATTTTTTAATTATAGTTGTAGATGGACAGAATGCCTTTATTTTATTTATTTTTATGTGGTGGATCAAACCCAGTACCTTACACATGCTAGGCAAGCACTCTGCTGCTGAGCTACAGCCCCAGTTCCATTTTCAGGATTCTTTGGATTATGATATTTTATGTCTCTTATGTGAAATCAAGTGATAAAATTTGAGTATTTCACTATAAAACTCAAGTTCTTAGAGTGAATCGGAACAAAGGGTTTTTAAATTTTTTTTTAAAGTTGTCAATGGACCTTCATTTCATTTCATTTATTTATTTATTTGTGGTGCTGAAAATTGAACCCACTGCTGAGCCACAACCCCAGTCCCAAAAGTTTTTTTTTTCCTTCCTTTTCTTCTTTGGTACCGGTGATTGAATCCAGGGACACTCAACCACTGAACCACACCCCCAGTCCTATTTTGTATTTTTATTTACAGGCAGGGTGTCACTGAGTTGCTTAGTGCCTCACCAAGTTGCTTAGTGCCTCACCAAGTTGCTTAGTGCTTCATCGTTGGCTGGAGGCTGGCTTTGAACTTGTGATCCTCCTGTCTTAGCCTCCCAAGCTGCTGGGATTACAGGCATACACCACTGTGCCTGGCTCCCAAAAGGTTTTTGAAAATATAGAAATGTGAAGGTGGAGCTGGGTTATAGTTCAGTGGTAGAGCACTTGCCTAGAATGTGTCAGGCACTGAGTTCAATCCTCAGCACCACATAAAAACAAATACATAAAATAAAGGTACTGTGTCCTCCTACAACTAAAATAAATCTTTTAAATTAAAACAAACCAACAATGACGACCAAAAAAAAAAAAAAACCCAAAAAAGTCAGTCAGAAATAGGAATTCTCCAGAAACACAGCTCACTAACATACCCTCAACTGATCAAGCTTCTCTCGGATCTGAATGAAACCCAGGTGTAACTTGCCCCCAAAGTGGTCTGCGAGGCGACGGTCGTTATCATGAAGACCCAGGTAGGCAGAACAGACCTCGCACACACGAAGCTTTTGCTGCTGGAAACTGGATGCAGGCATGGAATTCCTGTACTCTTCCTAGAGAAAGGGGGAGAGACGCACATGAGTCAACAGAAATGCCACCAGACGGACCTCCGAGACAGAGCCACCTGAGGGGACAGCAGATGTGACTTTTAAACAGCCTTAGCAATTCAGAGATACTGTCTCAAAATAGATCTGGGGATGTATCTCAGTGGTTAAGCGCCTCTGAGTTGAATCCCCAGTACTGCCCCCCCCAAATAAATAAATAAAACATTCACAATGTCAAAAAAACATGCAAAAGTTCTCAGACAAGAAGAACTATTCTGAGACCAGTGGGGAAGGTTAAGTCTCTGCTCTGCATGAGAAATTACAAACCAGAGGAGCAAGAAGAATCTTCTACAAATACACAAAAAATATAAACCATGAGGACTGTGTCCCAACATCCAGGAAACAACCCCAGTGCAACTGCAAAAGTGACAGTTTGCAGGCAGGCATGGTGGCACACACCTGTAATCTCAGGTACTCAGAAGACTGGCAAGTTCAAGACCACGCTAGGTAACATGGCTACACACTGTCTCAAAATGAAAAATAAAAAGGACTGAGGATGTAGCTCAGTGGTAGAGCACTAGAATGCGTGCTAGAGGCCACAATCCACAATTTCAAYCCCCAAGACTATAAGAAAAAAACAAAACAAAACAATGAAATCCATGATATTGAGCCTGGCATGAGGACTTACACCTGTAATTCCAGCTACTCAGGAGGCTAAGGAAGGAGAATCAAAACTTTGAGGCCAGCCCCAGCAATTTAGCTTAGGTCCTTGCTAAAATCTCAAAAAATAAAAGAGTTGGGGACAGAGCCCCTGGGTTCAATCCCCAGAACAACCACGAATCCACTGTTTTATACAATTAATATGCAGTAATAATTATAATAAAAAAGGGATTGTGCAATTTATGACAGGGGGGCATCTGTAGCTTTTTTCGATTGTGTTCTATAATCCAAAAAGCAGAGAAATGAAAAAAATTCAGAGAACTACTAGGGAAATGCAAATCTCCAGTAGCTCAATAGCCTCTCCTCAAATTCTTCAAGAGATTTAGTTTACCATCCTGTCCTACCTCTCCCCATCCTTCAAAACTTCTCTCCGTAAATCCCACCCTGCTCCAAGAATCTACTCAGCTGACCGCATCTCCCATTATCTCCTTCTTAGAATACTAATGACCACCATCTGTGCACTGGGGGAATTGAGCATGGTTTGAATCTGACCTAAGTATAACCACTCCATGTGTACCTTTGGCTGTACTCTCCCCACACTTTCCTTTTAGGCACTGGGAACTGAACCCAGAGGTGCTCTACCACTCAGCTACATCCCCAGTCTTTTTTTTTTTTTGGTTACAGGGGTTGAACTCAGGGGCACTGAACCACATCCCCAGCCCTATTTTGTATTTTATTCAGAGACAGGGTCTCACTGAGTTGCTTAGTGCCTTGCTTTTGCTGAGGCTGGCTTTGAACTGACCATCCTCCTGTCTTAGCCCCACGAGCCACTGGGATTACAGGTGTGTGTGCCACTACGTCCAGTCATCCCCAATCTTTTTTTTTTTTTTAGAATTTTTTAATATTTATTTTATTTTATTTTATTTTATTTTTTTAAGAAAGAGTGGGAGAGAGAGAGAGAGAGAGAGAATTTTTTAATATTTATTTTTTTAGTATCTGGCGGACACAACATCTTTGTTGGTATGTGGTGCTGAGGATCGAACCCAGGCCGCACACATGCTAGGCGAGTGCGCTACAGCTTGAGCCACATCCCCAGCCCCTTAATATTTATTTTTTTAGTTCTCGGCGGACACATCTTTGTTGGTATGTGGTGCTGAGGATCGAACCCGGGTCGCCCGCATGCCAGGCAAGCGCGATACCGCTTGAGCCACATCCCCAGCCCCAATCCCCAATCTTTWAAAAAAAAAATTTTATCTATGTATCTATCTTGGTACCAGGGACTGAACCAAGGGGCATTTAGCCACTAAGCCACATCCCTAGCCCTTTATTTTTTGAGAGTTGCCTAAGCTGGTCTTGAACCCCTGATTCTCCTGCATCCATCTCCTGAGTAGCTGGGATTAAAGGCAAGTGCCAATGCACCTGGCTCAAGAAATACAATGTTAGTCATCTGTCCTTTTTGAGAAAGAGATCTGAATACACTTCAAGTAAAGATTAAAATGATACAACATGGCAGTCACACTAACCTAGCAAAAAACATTAAAAAAAAAAAAGACACTAACACAATGCTGGCTACAGTCTATGAGTTGACAAAACTAACAGAGTGCAGTGTAGTAAGCTATCTGTTTAAAATGGATCACACATGCACCACTTCCAATGAACTCTTGTAGTGTGTCCTACAACTCTAACATCAGCACCAGGAGACAGGTATAAGAACAAGGTGCCTCACTGAATAACTGTTTGAAATGGTGACACACCATCAATAACCTAGAAAACTGCCAACAAACATCCTTTGTCCATAAGAGTCCCCCATCAACTGTCAATGTGGGAAGAACTCATAAACAAGCTGAGTCAACAATATGAGTTTTAGAATAACACACACACTGCTGAAGCGCTAGCATAGCTTTTAAAATGCACAGCACAGGGCTGGGGTTGTGGCTTAGTGGTAGAGCATTGCCTAGCATGTATGAGGCCCTGGGTTCAATTCTCAGCACCACATGAAAATAAATAAAGTCCATCAACAACTAAAAAAAAAATTTAAAAATAAAATGCACAGCACAGAACACACTATTTATGGGCCATATGAGCAACAAAGCATAAAGACAACTGAAAGATGCATGCTGAAATGCAGTCTAGTATTTGCCTCTGGAAGGGAGGGAACTAGGACAGAGGACACAGCAGGAACTTAAGTTTTCATTATAACGTGCCATCTTTAAAAAAATTTTTTTTATAGTTGTGTATAGGCAACATGCCTTTGTTTTTTTATGTGGTACTAAGGATTGAACACAGTCCCTCACACATGCTAGCCAAGTGCTCTGCCACTGAACTATAGCCCCAGCCCAGGCATTTTTTTTTTTAATTGCTGGAAAATTAATGTGGTGCTGAGGATCGAACCCAGCGCCCTATGCATGCCAGGCGAGCGCTCTGCCTCTGAGACACAGCCCCAGCCCCCACCCATCTTTTATTAAGGAAAAAAACTTCATGCAAAAACGATAGTTATTTGATCCTTCTCTGTTCCCTTTGTAGGTCTGAAACTTTACTAAGGTGTTTTGAGATGGGATCTTGCTATGATTCCCAGGCTAGTCATGAGTTTGTGGTCTCAGGTGAGCATTCTGAGTAGGGGCCTATGCTCACTTTTGTAGTTGAGAAATTTTTTTAATATTTATTTTTTAGTTGTAACTGGACACAGTTTCTTCATTTTATTTATTTATTTATTTTTATGTGGTGCTGAGGATTGAAACCAGGGCCTCACACGTGCTAGGCAAGCGCTCTACCGCTGAGCCGAAATCCTAGCCCCTATAGTTGAGAAAATTCATACTATATGAATCCATTTATTAGTTTTGTGCCCAGGCTAGCCTCAAACTTGGGATCCTGCTGCCTCACTCTCACAAGTTGTTGGTGTTTATAGGTATGTGCTGCCACAATTGTTAGTATGACTCCATTTACAATAACCTTTGTTTTTGGTACTGGGGATTGAACCTAGGAGTATTTTACCACCAAGCTACATCTACATCCCCAGTCCTTTATATTATGTATTTTGAGACAAGAGTCTCTCTTTGGCACTTAAGACCTTGCTAAATTGCTGAGGCCAGACTAAAAACTGTGATTCTTCTGCCCTGGTATCCTGAGTCACTGGGATCACAGGTGTGCGCCACTGTGCACAGCAAAACCCTTGGTTTCTAAACTACTAGAAGACAACACGAAAAGCAGGAAAGCAGCCTTGAGACTACTGAACATCTTGCCTCCTACTCTTAACTTAGAAGGGTGGGCTGGGGTTGTGGTTCAGAGGTAGAGTGCTCCCCTAGCATGTGTGAGGCACTGGGTTCAATCCTCAGTACCACATAATAATAAAATAAAGATATTATGTCCACCTATAATTAAAAAATAAAATGTTAAAAAAAAAGAACTCCAAGGGTGCAGTGCTGGGCCCCACATGCCCACCCAACAGCCTCACCCCTAATTATCCTAATCTTGTCCCTCAGGGTGTTGCAACAGTACTGCCTCTTAGAGGTAGCTCACAGTGAGGGGTGAGAATACCACAGTCCTGGGCTTGGGCAGCCACAATCCTGCACACTGCTTCTTTTTTTGCAACCTGACATCCATGTGGGTGATTATTTAGTCAAAGTACAAATTTTCCTGAGCCATTGCTGAACAGTTAGTATCTGTTCCCTGTCAGCAGGGCTCAGGATGCACTGAAACCCATGGTTTCCCTCCTGACTGATAGAGGCAACAGAAGCCCAACATTCCAAACATAGAACTCTTAGCAAAGTTTAAATGTGCACTTCATTTCCCAGAAACCGAACTACCCTACAAACTAGGAGAAGGCTGGTAAAGGTTTGGGAAGTCATGCCACCAAGCCAACGACTCACAAAGCATGTGAGTCAGTGCATCATTGAAACTGTCACACTCACAGTGCTTCTGTGTGGTGTGGTGTAAGAGTGGGTGCCACCGGCATTCAGCTCTCATGTGAGCTTTTTTAATTTATTTTTTTAATATTGCTTGTCAATGGACCTTTTAATTTATTTATAATGCAGTGCTGAGAATCAAACCCAGTGCCTCACACGTGCCAGTCAAGTGCTCTATCACTGAGCTACAACCCCAGCTCCCATGGAAGCATTCATATACAAAAGCACTCTATTTGTGGTATACATCTATTCATCATCCTTTACGGAAAAGAATTACAAGAATAAGGGTGTGGGCTGGGGATGTGGCTCAAGTGGTAGCGCGCTTGCCTGGCATGCGTGCGGCCCAGGTTCGATCCTCAGCACCACATACAAAAAACAAAGATGTTGTATCCGCTGAAAACTAAAAAAATTAAACATTAAAATTCTCTCTCTTAAAAAAAAAAAAAAAAAAAAGAATAAGGGTGTTGTGGTACACCTCCTTAATCCCAGCAATGAAGGAGGCTAATGCATAAGAGTACCAAGTTAGAGCCAACAGTTTAATGAGACTTTATCTCAAAATAAAAAGAAGGGCTGATGGGTCTGGGATTATGGCTCAGTGGTAGAGCACTTGCCTAGCGTGTGTGAGGCACTAGGTTCAATTCTCAGCACCACATAAAATAAATAAATAGAGGTATTGAGTCCATCTTCAACTAAGTTACCCTACTGCCTGAGTTACCCTACTGCCTGCTTCCCTTAAGTGACTGGTCTCAGAAGGCATGGCCCCAAAACCCACAAACCCTTGGCACAACTTAGTTAATATAACTAGGCATCTACCCAGTGTTAGGCTCCAAGTGCAACCAGAAGCACAATAATAACCAAAACCAGACCTATACCAGGGCATTTACACACCATCTCTGCCCCTACCATTATTAATTAGCTCTGAGTCTGGGGTTCAGCCAGGGGGTCTCCAGAGTCACTCTACCCTAGAGACTACCCCCAATCCAAAGTTGTTCTCACACTCAAGACCACATTTCTTTGGTGCATTATCTTCATCAGAATAAACAGGTAGAACAAAGAGGATTTCTAGGATAGTGAAACTACTATGTAGGATAAGCCCAGTGTAAACTACAGACTTTAGGGTGATAATGATGTAGGTCATTCATCAATGGTAACAAACATTTATTTCTGGTGGTGGGGAGCTGACAAGAAGAGAGGCTGTGTAGGAGATGCAGGGGATAAATGGGGAAATCTCTGCGCCTGCCTCTCAAATTTTCTGTGAACTCAAAACCACTCTAATAAAAGTTTGCTAATTAACTTTCATTTCTCTTCCCGAGACATTTCCCTCACTGACCTCAGCTTCTTTCTTCTTTGCACGAACTTTCTCCACTTCCATGAGAATCTTTTGGGATTCGTCCACATTTCCTTCAGCTCCGAGCTGCTCAGCTTTAGCCAGAAGTTTTCCTATTTCTTCATTCAACTCGTGTACTTTTTCTGCCTGAGGGGAGAAATAATCAAGTAAGCAGACACCTAAAATCAAGATTCTGAATGCAAGAGAGACAATTATTGTTGCATTCAGGCAACAATGGAAAAAAAATGGAGTAGCTTAGGGCTGGAATAGTGGCTTGGTGGTATGGCACTTACCAGCAAGTGCGAGGCCCTGGGTTTGATCCCAAGTACCACAAAGATAGATAGATAGATAGATAGATAGATAGATAGATAGAGTAAAATAAATAAATGAAACGGCCAAGATCTATACCAAGGAACATGCACATTTTATTTTTTATTTTTTTTTAAAGAGGAGAGAGAGAGAGAGAGAGAGAAGAGAGAGAGAATTGCTTAATATTTATTTTTTAGTTTTCAGTGGACACAACAACTTTGTTTGTATGTGGTGCTGAGGATCAAACCCGGGCCGCACGCATGCCAGGCGAGCGCGCTACAGCTTCAGCCACATCCCCAGCCCCACATGCACATTTCAGACATCCTTATTGCCACCACGGAAAGTAGAAGCATTAATCTGTTTGTGGCGTTCCAACAAAAGCAGTGGCATAACCAGGCACAGTGGCCACTCCTATAATCCTAGGTACTCTGAAGGCTGGGACAGAAGGGTCCTAAGTTTTAGGACAACCTGGGCAACTTAGCAAGGCCCCGTCTCAAAATAAAAAAAGACTGAAGGGTCGGGTCATGGCTCAGTGGTAGAGTGCTAACCTAACGTATGAGGCACAGGGTTTGATTCTCAGCCTGACATATAAATAAATAAAGATCCATTGACAACTTAAAAAAAAAAAAAAAAAGGACTGAGGATGTAGTTCATTACTGGGTTAAATCTCCAGGGCCACACACACCAAAAAAAAAAACATTTCAAAGAATCCTCTCATGTTGGTTATTTTCTGGTGTGTCTCTTTTCATGTCTTCTACCACAGTTCAATTTTCTGGAAGGTAATAAAATGTCTTGGTTTAAGTGCAGAAGCTTATGCTGCAATACCTAATCATTAGAATTTAGCTTCAGAGGGAGCTGGGGTTGTGGCTCAGGGGTAAAGCGCTTGCCTCACAGGTATGAGGCACTGGGTTTGATCCTCAGTATCACATACAAATAAATAAAGGTTTTGTGTTCATCTACAACTAAAAAATAATAATTAAAAAAAAATTTACCTTCAGAAACAAAATAGCACCTTTGTTCTAATTATCGAATACATATTCTCTAAGAAATGCTTCTTCAGCACTGAGAAGGAAAACAAACGAGACCTRGTTCCACTGAAGAGGGGACAGGAGAAGAAAGCAACTGCTCCAACACTGGGGTCAGTCACCCACAGAGCTACCTCTTTTCCCCCAGGTGGATGTGGATAGATCATAGTTTGATCACCTTCCTTGAATTTTTCTTGTTTCCTCTTTCATATGGAGATGTTTAAAAAAAAAAAATTAAGCTGAGTGAGATGGTTGCATGACTGTTAGTCCCAGAAATTGGGAGGCTAACGCAGGAGGATCATAAGTTTGAGGTTAGTCTGGGCAACGTGGCAAGGTCCTATCTCAAAAATGAAATTTAAAGAGGGCTGGGGCTAGGCACCATAGTGCAAGCCTATAACCTCAATGACTCGAGAGGCTAAGGCAAAAGGACTGACTGCAAGTTCAAACTCAGCCTCAGCAACTTAGCGAGATTTTGTCTCAAATAAAAAATAAAGGGCTGGGGCTCAGAGGCAGAGTGCTTGCCTAGCATGTGTGAGGCACTGGGTTCAGACCTCAGCACCACATAAAAATAAAACAAAGATATTGTGTCCACCTCTACCTAAAAAATAAACAGAAAATTAAAAAAGGGCTGGGGATGTGGCTCAGTGGCTAAGTAATCTGGTTCAATGTCTAGTACCAAAAAAAAATAATAATAATAATAATAAAAAGGATTCATTCAGGTGTAGCTTAGTGGCAGAGTGTTGCCCAGTGTGAGTAAGGTCCTGGGCTCAATCCCTAGTGTCCTAAACAAACAAATAAACAAAGTTAAAGAAATTATGAATAGAGGGGAAAACAGATAAGGAAAAAAGGCAAGGCAGCAGCTCTAGGGGTGAGACCCTCTGGCATGGGCATGCTTAGTCATTCACTCATTGATGCTGAGGCACAGCGCCACCCACCAGTAATTCAATTACAGACAGCGATCTGTACTAAGGACCCCTGATATACCTTTGCTGAAACTTCTGCACTGATCTCCTCCTGTGTTTCTGCCAACCGTTTCTTGGCAAGCTCAGTCCTCCGATCACACTCTGCAATAAAGGACTCCAAGTGATCCATCGCCTAGCTCAGAAAAAGCAAAGAAAGATGATCAATGATGATGCATGCCATAAACTCAAGGCACCCCCTTGGTGTACTAGGAATGCACTATTCAGTTAGTTTCTGAAAGCATGTAGGTTTCAGCTACAGCTAACAAATCTGTAATTCCAATAAATCAAAGGTTTTATTAAATCAAATGAATGCTAGGAAGCTCAGTGTTCTCATGTGACTTTCTTGTGCATTTTCAAAATTTGACAACATTGTCAAGAACACATCTCTCTGGGATAGAAATGGCTACACAGAAGCCAGATGCAATGGCACACGCCTGTAATCCCAGCGTCTTGAGAAGCTGAGGCAGAAGGATTGAGTTCAAAGCCAGCCTCAGCAACTCAGCAAGACTCAAAATTAAAAATAAAAGCAAGTCTCAAAATTAAAAATAAAAAAAGGGCAGGGAATGTGGCTCAGTGGTAAAGAACCCCTAGATTCAATCCAATAAATAAATAAAGATATTATTGAGAGTTGTGAATAAATTTAGTTATTGCCTACTATCTACAGAAGGAATACCAGTTCACAAAGAAGGAAAAGAAATTCTACAAAATCTGCTTACTCTGAAAAGCACTGGTGTGAAACATGAAGAATGAATAAGCTGTCATAGGCATTAAGGTTAATTTGTTTCAGCCTGGCAAAGGCCAACATAACTACAGGTAAACACAAACAGGACATTAACTTCCAACCATCAATCTATACTAGCAATGAGAGAGAAATATCTCTTCCATTAGTCAGCTAGCTAATGATGGCATCATGTTCAGTATGTTCAATCAAGAACATTTAGTAGTGATGACAGATTTAGACAAAGTAACAAATTACCAAAACAGAATGGAAAAGGTGGATTGGAGATGAGAAAGTAGCTGAAAGAACAACAGGTTAAGAAGTTATGATCTGGATTCTTCCTCCAAAGGCGGACAGCAGGGTGGTTATCAGAAGGTGCTCCAGAGATCAATGTTACTTCATGACTAGAGGGACACTGGAAAGGAGTCTCCAACATTTCTTCAAATTAACACAAACAGGAATGAGGCTCCAAGAGGGTGCCAAGTCTCCCAGGGACTGAAAAAGGCAAATCATCCCCCATTCACTGTGTCTGACTCCAGTTCCAACTCCGTAACTGAGAAAAATCAAAGGTCCTGTTACTGGTAGTATAAACATTGTGTTCAAGTCAAACCATGAGGAAATTAAATGATTTAGTTTTTGTGTGTGCCAACACAGTTACATGCTAATTCCCAGGAAAATGAAGAACTGGTCACCTGCACTCAGCTGGGATCAAAGCTGCCAATAAGAACCAAGGCTTGCCTAGGAAGTACCCCTAGGTGTCCACTCAATGACAGCACTGTGCACCTGACAGACCCAGGGTTCTATGGGGTGTGGGGGGAACGGAGGATGGAGACCTGACAATTCTTCCAGTGCCTTCACTGAGCAAAGCAATTACTTATATCACCAGCAGAACCCAAATTGGTTATGGCTTTGGATGTTTGAAAACCTAACAAATAAGTGGTAAAAACAGCACAGAAAAAGCAGACCCCAGAGAAGTCTTCTAACCCAGCATATTCTTTAAAATGTGGCTTTCCTTAGTGCCCATCTTAGATGTTAGTGTCATGAAACAGGAATTCTTAAAAGTACATGGCACACCCCTTCTTCCCAAGAGTGGGGCCCATAAACTCAAGGCCTCAGAACAGTAAAAATAAACTACTGATAAATTCATATTTTTAGTCCTTTTGGTAGAAATATATCTACTTAATCATACCTTTAACCTGCTTTTAAAAAGTTTATAGCAAAAAGGACTTATATGCAGTGTTTAAAAGAGTCTGCCTATGCCACCACTCTACAAAAGTTCCATGAATAGGACATCCTCCTCCTTTTTTTTCTTGCCAGCAAAGCCTCAGACTCCTGACAGAATCCTTGAACAGGAAATATGAGCTTCCAACAACTACCCTCAAACAGTTTATTAAAAAGTTGACCAAACACGATCAGTCTGTGGCATTTAAGAATTAACCTGTGAGGGCTGGGGCTGTAGCTCAGTGATAAAGCTCTTGCCTTGCATATGTGAGGCACTGGGTTCGATCCTCAGCACCTCATAAAAATAATAGTGAGTATTTATCTACAACTAAATAAATACTTAGAAAGAAAGAAAGAAAGATGAATTAACCTGTGAGAGCTAGGGCTGTAGCTCAATGGTAGAGCACTTGACTCGCAGGTGTGGGACGCTAGGTTCAATCCTCAGCGAAAGAAAGAAAAACAGAGAGGGGGGGGAGGGAGGGAGAAAGAAAGAAATTGTGTCCATCTACAACTAAAAAAAATTTAACAACAACAAAAAAGAGAATTAACCTGTGAAAGCTGGGAATATAGCTCAG